ACGCGTGCGCTTTCGTGCCACCAGGATTGCCTGAAATTCACCATGTAAGCAAGGATGACCTTGGACTCCTGTTCCTGCTGCCTTCGCTTCCCACGTGCTAGGATTTCCAGAAAGTACCACAGTGCCCAGATAAACCCCTGCAATCTTCCTTGTGTTGTGGCACTTCCAACAGACCCTTCTACTGACCCTTCTTCCACACAGTCTCTGGTTTGTCTCCTGTCCATCTTCATTGCCATCACTCAAGTCTCACCCAAACACCATTCTGTTCCTAATGACAGCTAACATCTGCCCTTTCCTATGGAAGAGTGGTCCTAAAATAACATGAACCTACCATGCAAATTCTTTTTGGGAACCCTACTAAATGGCAACTCTTGTTTATATTTTCATTCCCCATTTCTTTTTTATTTGAAGTCTCTATACATGAAATATTTTATGTCTCTTTTCTGAGTTCCATCCCCAGTGCCCAGCTAAAAGTGTCAAATAGAAAGAGGAATGGGAAGAAAAAGTTATCCAGGCTCAGTGTACCTGCTGAATCCCAGGACTTGGAAAAGAGAGGCAGGAGAATCAGAAGTTCAAGGCCCATCTTTGGCTATATGGTGATGGACAGAGAAGCAGACTTGACAAGAGCTGGGCTATTCCAGCTTGTCTCCTGCACCAGACCCCACATCCATTTAGAGAGTGTGGAGGCTTGCAGAGAACTGAAGGGGGTTCCCATTTTTGAGTAAATATCTAGGAGCCTGTAAGAAAAATAGCAGGCAGAAGATGTTAAACCCAGAGTCATATTAGGGGCAAATTCTAATTCACTGTGACACATGGTGGAAGGGAGGGCTGACTCACACACGCTGTCCTCTGGCCACCACATGCAAATTGTGATGTGCGCACACCCCAACCCCCAGTAGGTATGTGTAAAAAGTCTCAGTGAACATAGATCGTTTCCATGATTGCCTTGCTTCCTGTGTGCACACGCATTGCTGTGTAGGTGCACGTACGCATATGCATGTGTACATACATGCGCAACACTTCCCCAAGTAAAATTATATTCCCCACAATTATCATTGGATCTTGTTCTACTAGCCCCTTGATGTACCCATTAAAATGATTAACATCTAAGATGTTCTCCATAAACTTTGGCAGAAATATTAACTAATCTGCATTTTTTTTTCTGTTAGGGAAAGATCTAGACATTTTTGAGCAAACTTGATCTGGTAAGATCCAATTAGGTTTCATTCCAGGAGTGAAGTGCTGCTCAAAATCATGGGCCAGGATATGACACGCCCAGCAGAGCCAGAGATCTCTAGCTCATTCTTCTATCAAAGACATGTGCTCAGCAGCTCCGTCACATCCAAGTCGGCACCAGGGAGCTCTGTCTAAACACTGACTTGGCTATACAGCCTCTGTCCAGCTGTCTCTTTTCAAATTTAGCAAGGACCGAAAAAAAAAAGATGTAAACTAAAAATATCATACTAACTGGAGGCTGATGTTTGAGACCCTCTTCAATCAAAGCATCCAAGTCAATCCAACAAATATTTACATTCACCAAGGAATTGTTGGGCAATGGTTCAAAAGCGTTCTGGGACTGAATGTGAGCAGGGCATCCAACATGCCCAGCATGCCCAACATGCTACAGAGAAAGCCAGACCCATCAGTATCTGCGAATTCCCAGGAGGAAGGCCATGCCACTTGGCATGTGCCTGAGAACCTGAAGGACGGAGAAGCAGACTTGCCAAGAGCTGGGCTATTCCAGCTGAGCTATGGCGCTGTCTCGTCTCCTGCACCATGACCTCCATGCTCTATTTGGAGAGTGTGGGTGGAGAACTGAAGGGGATTCCCATTTGTGAGTAAATATCTAGGGGCCTGAAAGACAAAAACCAGGCTGATGGTGCCAAATACCAGGATGAACTGCAAGCAAGTTCTCATTCACCTATCACCTTTAGGGTGAGGAAGTACTCGTAATTGGTTAATGGTGGCAAACACAATGCCACAAACATGAAGAACAGCGTGCCCAGAAGAGTCCTTCTTACTGTCATTCTGGACAGGCACCCGGACACTGGTGCTTCTGAAGCCCTTTGCATTGGCAGGAAAACAGGGATTGCAGCCCGTGATGTCCCTAGCTGCTGGTGAAAGATCACCAAGGAGACACTGTGCCTGATGGCACAGCAGTGACCCTTCTGGGAAGTGCCCAAGATTACAGTCAGTAGACTTGACCTAGCTCGGCGAGGCTCTGAGCCTGAGCAACTGTGCTATGGCCACATTCTCACCCTGCCCTGTTTATACTTTCTCGTGGTGCTTCAACACTCTGTCATCCCTGGTGCTTATGTCTGTCACCACCCCATGCTGTGGACCCCATGAGAGCTAACTGTAGGCTTTGTGTGTCTTTCCATTCCTTTCGGAGCCCATGTTTGTGCTCTGTGATCACAAGATTAGTAACAAATGGCAGATGAATGAAAGAACTACTCACGCATAGAAAAGAATGCCAGCCCTCTGCCCTCTATGCTGGATCTGTCTAGGCTGGCATTCGCATACCATGGCTGATGGTTCTACAGAAACCAAGGTAAGATCTAGGGGTCCTTCAGTGTTTAATCTGCTGTCACAATCTCATTTCCCTTCACTCTCTCCCTCAGGAGAGCACTGGTATTTACTTCGTGTGTCCCCTAAGATCCAATTTCTACTCTTTTCCTACCTGACTCAGAATCAGAGACAACCATATTCCCTGACTTGCTTAATAGCTGGCTTCTGGATAAGTTCAGCCAATTTGGGCACCGATGGGAGATGGTGCCTGGATTGAGAGGAAGCCAGGGCTGGCTCCTGGATGGTGTCTCAGACAGCAACTGCAGTTCTTCAACAGGACACCTATGCTGTGGGGCTGCTCCCCGTGCTCTAGACCTGTGGGGTGGGGCCAGCTCTTGGTTCTTGGTGATAGAAAGAATACAGTATCCTCTTCCAGCTCCTTTTTCCAAAGCTTGGTCTTGAGCTTACAATGCTATTTCGGGAAATGCTGGGGACTTTAAGAAGCAGGGCATATCTGGATGAAGTCAATCACTGGGAGAAGGTCCTTGGTACTTTATCTTGCCATGGCCTGTGCCTCCTTACTCTCTCTCTTTGCTTGCTGGGCACCATCATGAGTTAAGCAGCTATTCTCTTTTGTGGCCATCTACCATGATGGTCTCCCCCAAGCCAGGCACAGAAACACAACTTTTTGAAGCTGTGAGCTAAAAACAAAATTTTCTTTCCAAAGTTGACTCCCAGAAATTATTACAGTAAAAAAACATTCCACTAAATCACACTGTCACACTGTCCCCCGCCCCAGCTCCTACCGTTATTGACCTCCAAGATGCCTTACTAATGGCTGAGCATCTTGGCTATACCATCCTCTGTACACCCATTTCCCCATGTCAGAATCCTCTGCTGCAGGCCTACGGGGTTTTACATTCCTGGCTGGATCAAATGCTGATGATTCTTGGCAAGCTAATACTATCCTTTCTTTGAGGAGAGGGGGCAGCACAGTGACCTGACTCTCAGCCAAATCCCCTCAGGATCAAGGTTATCTTGAGTTATTTCAAGAAGTAACGTTATTATTTTTTATTTGTTTGTTTTTGCTTTATGTGTATGTGTCTCTGTGCATGTATGTGTGCCACATGTATGCAGTACTCTTAAAGGCCAGAAGAGGGCATCCGACCCCCTTGAACAGGAGTCACAATGGTTGTGAGCTGGCATGTAGGTGCTGGGAACTGGACTAGGAACCTCCTAACTGCTGATGCAGTTCTCCAGTCCTGAGATGAAATTCTTAATAACTAACTTGGTACAGTGTATTTGACTTTAATTCCACACATGCTATGCAGTGGTGCTGTTAGGGAAGCTGTGGAGCTGTTGTGTTGTTAAACTCTAGATGTAGGAGGAATGATCCCAGAGAAGTAAGTTTTTATCACAGCAGAAAGTTTGATGAAGACTTTCCATGCTTCAGTCAGTCCTCACAGGCAGGGATTCTATAGTTTATTTTTAACACATTGTGCATGTGTGTGTGTGATGTGGTGTGTGTGTGTGTGTGTGGCACGTGTGGAATGGTGTGTATGGTTTGTATGTAGTGTGTATGTGTGTAACGTGTATGTGTGCGATATGTGTGTGGTGTATATGGTGTGTCACAGTGAGAAGAAGAAAGTCAAAGAACAACTTGGAGGAATCCCTCTTCCCTTCCACCCCTAGTCCAGGACTGAACTCAGGCCATTAGACTTGGCAGCAAGCATGGCTATCTGCTGAGACACTGTGCCAGCCTCAAGATTCAGCAGTTCACAGAGAACTGCTTTCTCCATTGTTTACTTCTGATCCTCTTGTCTCCACCTCCCGGTGTGGGTATTATATGTGTACAGTGTTAGGGGATGGAACCCAGGCCTTCACGCATGCTAGACAAACTCTATGACTGAGCTACATCCCCAGCCCAGCTCTACTTCTTATTTGAAAGTGGAGCCCAACATTGACTCCTTAGTCTTGTCCAGCATCTGCATCACAGCAACCCTTACACAGAAACAGAGGCCACCTCCACAGCTCACACAGAATGAAGGACAATGTACCACATGGCTGCAAATCCCATTGGTGTGAAAACACCAGACTCAGACAAAGTCCTGAATGCTGGCTTTTGTGCCAAATGGGAGTTTTTAGCTGCAATGTATGGGCCAGCACTATAAAGGAGAGACTTTGTTCTAGCATGATAGATGCTGGTACCTGAAGCCAGGTGAGTGTGAGACCAGGGCTGTTTCTCATCTCAGACCTGAGACCCACAGCTCCAAGCAGCCGGTGTATATAATGGTGCACCCAGTCTGCGGCCCCTTCACAGCGCTGGCCTGGGACAGCCATTCCCAGCCTTGTCCCACTTCCCATGAAGAACCCCCTCTCTTCACTGGCATCTTGGTGAGGTTTCTGACCTTCCCAGGAGACCAAGCAGGCTCTGAGGCAGATGGAAAACTCAACTGTTACTCTGTTGAAAAGAGAAGTGAGTCTGTGCTTACTGATGGAGCTCTTCTTCCGTGAGGGCCTCGGTCCTCCACTCCCCAGTGGCCATGGCCAGCTCCGCCTTCAGATCAGCAATCTCCTTCTGCAAGCGGGTAATCATCTGTGGAGGGGTAAGTGGGAGAGCACATGTCCACCTCTGGCCAACGCAACCTCGGTGGCAGCAAAACACAGCTTTGGAGGTTATGAGGCAATGGTTGGGGACAAGCCTGACACACAAGTTCAGTCCCTGGGACCCAGACCTACACAGTGGAAGAAGGAAAGTGACCCCTGTAGTGTCCTCTGACTCTACATTGCATTAAGTGTGCACACATGGGTGGTTAATTAATTAAAATTATTAACTATTTTAGGATACAAAACTGGATAGAGAACAATTTAAAAGGCATTAGTGTCCCTAACATTAATATTCGGACTAAATAACTCTAGAACTGTATTTTTTAACAAATAAAACATTACAAGCTGGGCGGTGGTGGTGCACACCTTTAATTCCAACACGCAGGAGGCAGAGGCAGGCGGATCTCTGTGAGTTCGAGGCCAGCCTGGTCTACAGAGTGAGTTCCAGGATAGCCAGGACTACACAGATAAACCCTGTCTCGAAAAATAACAACAGAAACAAAACAACAACAATAAACCATTACAGACACAACTTGTGGCATCTCTCTTGCTCCCTTGCTGTCCTTCCTGGAGTGTGCTATAATGAAGTTAAGAGTCATGAAAACACTTACACTTCATACATTATTCCACATGCACGCTCCAATGCATGCTCCCTTTAATAAAGGAGAATATCATTTTGCCTGCCTTAAACTATGTGAATATCCTATTTCTTTATGTAAACTGCATCTTGTTTTCTTTGGTTTTCACATAATTTGAGCTCACTGCACCAGAACTGAGTGAAGGGGTAGTTGTTGGAACTCAGGGGCTACCAGTCCTTATTGGGGTGGTGGGAAACCCTGTCTCAAAGGCAGAAAATAGGAGCAGGACACAGCCAATGTCTGACTTCTGTGAACACATGCACAGTTGTACATACGCATATGTTCACGTGCACGTGTGTGCACACACACACACACAAGTGGATGGTGTTCTTGAAAAGGGAAAGGAGTGGCAGGGAGTGAGGAGAGTTGACATGTACTTAGTTGATTGGTTGGTTAGTTTTGGTAACTACATTTCAAAGATCAGCTAAAGCTGATATAGCCTGCCAACGTTTGTTCTACCAAGTTCATATTATAACCACATAATCATTAGTAGAGTATTTAGTATTATAATCCAGTTGGGCTTGCTTCAGGAAGTTAATAATAGGCTATCATTTAAAAATACACAAATGAGCACTGAAAAAAAGGGAGGTGCATGGAGTGACAGCTTTAATAGGTCAAGATGTCGTCTTAAGATGAAGAAACATGGCATCCGCTTAAAAAAAGTTGTGTCGATTTTTCTGTTGTACCTTTCTGTATATCTGAAATAATTCATAATAAAGCTGACTAAAGGGATGTGACAATCCATCACATGAACAGTTGAAAAGAGAAATATTGATCAATCTCATCACTTGTTGGGTCCCAGAACATATGCGCCTATGCTAGGTCAACTGCCTGGACTTCCGGCTCCAGGGGATTACACCCTCTTCCAGACTCCCCTTGGGCCCTCCAGTCACACACAAATACACACACATACACACATGTCAAATATTTTTCTAAAACTCGTACTTGATCATATCAAGAATTCACTGACATATTGTAAAGATTCAGTCAAGCTGAAGATAAGTGAACATCAACCAAAAAGTTACAGTAAACCTTTATTGTAGCAATGAGCGGCAGAAAGAGCAAGACAAGAATGTCTTTAAAATTCTGCTAAAATTCTTGGCTAGGCCATGAGACAATGAAAAGAAGAAAATCATCTGCCTATACTTGCAGATCATGTTATTGTCTATGCAGAGCACATGTGATGATAAACGCAACAAAAATGGATAAGAAATTTATCTGGTCCATAATCCATTTATAAGTTTCTTTCCAAAGCTTGACAGATCAACAATTATAAAATGTAATTCTCCTCACTTCTATACACAAACCCTTTGGCCTCCTGCTATGCAATCTAAAGACACCTGTCCTAGGTAGGGCCACTACTGCAGGGGTGAGGCAGTGTGACCAAAGCAGCATGAGGAGGACAGGCTTGTTTCCCTCCCAGTTCCTTATCACAGTTCATCATCAAAAGCACTGAGGACAGGAACTCACGCAGGCAGGAACTGGGCAGCAGGAGCTGATGCAGAGGCCATGGAGGAGGCTGTTGCTTACTGGCTTGTTCCTCATGGCTTGCTTGGCCACCTTTCTTATAGAACCCAGGATCACCAGCCCAGGGCAACCCCCACAATGGGCTGCACTCCCTTATTAATCACCAATTAAGAAACTACCCTACAGGCTTGCCTACAGTCCAATCGTAGATTATCTTAACTGAGGCTCCCTCCTCTCAGATGACTTTAATTTGTGTCAAATTGACATAAATCCAGCCAATATGACACCCCAGTTTAGTAAAAAGATGAGACATCTGTTTGCAGCCGTCCTTGAGAACTGAAGTCCCCAAACTGGCTAACGAAGTCAGCATCAGCTCTTCTCCCTCCCACCTCCTGCCCTTTTCCAATAATTTGTATTCTCTCTCTTCTTCACTTGTGGATCGCTTCCCAGGAGGCAGAGGCGGGACTCTGTGAGTTCGAGGCCAGTCTGATCTACACAGAGAGTTCCAGGCCAGCCAGGGCTACAGAGTGAGACCCCGTAACAAATAAAACAAAAGCATTAAACAAACAACCTTTTAGACAAAGGGGGTTTTGTGTATGTGAATTCAAACCCATGTGAAGGAGGGATAAAGCTTTTAAATTCTCAAGAAAATACTTCTTGTGGGCTGGAGAGCTGGTTCAGTGGGTCAGAGTAGGCCCTGCTCTTTCAGAGACCCTGGGTTCAGTTTCTAGCACCCGTGTTAGGTGGCTCACAGCTGCCTATAATTCCATCTCCAAGGGATCTGATGCTTTCTTCTGACCTCCACAGGCACCTGTGCTCACTCACACATGCCATCAGTCCTGCTGGTCAGGGATGTGGCAGATGGCCTCACTGGTATCGCCACATCGGGGAATAGATTTATCTTCCCCGCTCCTTCCTCGCTGGTTTTGTTAGGGAGGGAAGCAGAGGTCCAGGACTGTGACTTCCTTCCCCGGGCTGACACTGTTTGTCCACACTCAAGGACAGCTGCAGCCTTGTGCTCCCCTGTCTGCAGGTAACATGTTCTAAAGATGCTTCCAGAGATCTATTCGGATGAGTTTCAGGCTCCCTTGACCACATCAACAGAACCAACAACCCCTCTAAATCACAAGAGCATTTGGACACAGGCTCCAGGGACTTTGTTCAAATCCGCAGGGCGCCATGTTTTACCTGTTGGCCTCCTTTAAAAACACAGTGAGAAACTGCCGAGCCACACAGAACAGCGCCCTCTGGACAAGGGTCGTTCACTTTCACCTCTCTATGCTGACGCCAATGCTTTAATCTTCATGTCCTTGTGCCTGTGGATGTATGTGGGTGCACATGCCCGAGGAATCATCCCCCCTCTGCCTCCCCAGCACTAGGATTACAAGTGTGTGATCACACCAGCTTTCTGAGGTGGGTTCTGTGGGTCAGAGTCAGGACTTCATGCTTGCAGAGTGAGCACTTCATCAATTGAGTCATCCCCCGGCTCTAGACTTTCTAAAGATTTATAAACCCAAACTACTATTACTATGGCCATGCGTCCTACAGATTTCCTGTGTACTTAAAGGCATCTGGGGAGATCCTGGCCCATGTCCCCTCATTCTGGAATCTGTCCAGCTCATGTTCCTGCCATTACCATGTCGCTTTGAAATACTGGTGCTTGGTGATTCTGATCACTCAGGGTAACACCATATTTGCCATTAAAATCTAAGAGTAAGACACAGGAAATCCCAAACAAGTTGTATCTTAAGTGGTTTCTTTTAACACTTCCTTAAAACAGATTAATTGTATCATTTTAGAAATTATGTGTAATGGAGGGGCATGCGCATATGAGTGCAGGCACATGAGAATGCCTGGAGCATCAGCTTTTGGAGCTGCAAGTCACCTGACAGGAGGGCTATGAACTGAACTTGGATCTTTTGCAACATCAGTGCATTCTCTTAACTGCTGAGCCACCCCTCCTGCCCCCTAGGACAAAGTCTTGATTGTCACTTGTATTACAGGCAAGGTTCACACTAAAATAGTAAGCAACAGTGTGTGGTTTAAGGTGCCATTAATACAGAGCGTAGCAAGCCACGCTTGGCAGTCACTACGTCAGTCAGCACTAGGAAGAACCACGGCAATCACTTCAATTATCAGCTATTAGCTTTTTGCTCCCAGTTTCTCTTTACTTTAAATCTGTCACAGACCTACATCAAACACACGCGGATGTCCTCTGCCTTCAGAGTCTTCAAAGAAAAGTCTCTCTGGCAAAAGTTAAAGAAATTAAAGAAATACTTCCAATGTTTTATATTCTTGTTCTCCATAAATTGTGAACTAATTTTTGTCATCCAGATAATAGAACCTTTCTCATTCTGCACAACAATGCTCTTGGGTGTAGGAGGGGCAGGGACAGCCACAGTGATGCTCTTGGGTGCAGGAGGGGCAGGGGCAGTCACAGTGATGCTCTTGGGTGTAGGAGGGGCAGGGGCAGTCACAGTGATGCTCTTGGGATGCAGGAGGGGCAGGGGCAGCCACAGTGATGCTCTTGGGATGTAGGAGGGGCAGGGGCAGTCACAGTGATGCTCTTGGGTGTAGGAGGGGAAGGGACAGTCACAGTGATGCTCTTGGGATGCAGGAGGGGCAGGGACAGCAGAATACATCCCATAGGGGTGCATTTTCTTTTGACTCTGCTTTGGTATTCTGTTCCTTTCCCTAGGACTCTGATGCTGGGGTCTGACCAAGGTGGGCACAAGGATTCACCTGATTCACCCACTGATTTCTCCATCAGGGAAAGCGAGGCTCTCTGAGGCTGGCAGGGCAAGACCGATAGCCCCGTTATTCATTTTCCTTCCTCTCGCTCTGTCCTTGAGGTGGGGAGAGGTAGGTGATGGAGCAGGAATTCAGACCACGACAGTGGCCTGAGCTGACCTAATGCTGCTTTTCCTTTGCAGAGAACCCACAAAACACAAAGGAAAAATATATTCAAAGTGGGGAATTGAATTATGTATCTATGATTTCCTTGCATAAAAGTTGCTTTGATAAAACAGGAGTTATTTTTCCATAAATCAAACTATTGCTAGCCTTTAAGAAACTCTAGAATACATAACAGGATGCTTGGACAAAATATTTCTACTTAATAACTCTCTGTGAACGACGGCCTGGTACTCTGTCTAAAAAGGAAAACTAGGTGTTTTGTGAAAGGCTAAGACCCAACTATAAATATAATTGTATTTTTTCCATTGTAGTTCTGGGGATCTAACCCAGGGCTGGGTAAGTATTGTCCCGCTGAGTCACTGCATGTCTGCCTTTTGGGTATGTCCACAGGATGGGCCATGCTCTGTCATGAAGCAGATTTCTTAAGCTTGACCACTGGGCTATGATACCCACTCTTACTAAGACAATCAGTAGCTTATTTCATGCCCTTGTGTTTCAATTTTTCTTTCCATGGAGACAGCCGAACAGCTCATCACATGGTTGCTGAGAATTCCATCTGCGAATGCATACAGGTTCTTAGAGCACTGCATAGTACAGACCCACTGCCCCACAACAAGGTTCAGCTAATCGTGTATATGTATGTTAAGTATATATATTTCTTTGAGCCTAATTAAAAATGTAAGTTTCTCACTGGGAGTGGGGACACAGCTCAGTGCACACGGCACTTATGCAGCAAGCATGACATCCCATGGGATCTCAGCACCACAAACTCCAGAAGTGATGGTGCACGCCTGTCACGTGCTCACACAGCAGGAGGGCCACGAGTTCAAGGTTATCTTCACCTGCAAATGAAGCTTAAGGCCAGCCTGAGTGATAAGTCCCTGTCTCAGAAGTCAAGCATCTGCTTACCAGTTTGGGGTCAATTTCTTCATTGAGGACAGCTTCATTTTTGATGAGGGCCACTCGCTGAGCGAATCTGCAGGTAGAGATGGACTCCTAAGGAAAACGATGAAATAGCTTCTTAAAACATGATGGCATAGGGGGCTGGAGAGATGGCTCAGTGGTTAAGAGCATTGCCTGCTCTTCCAAAGGTCCTGAGTTCATTTCCCAGCAACCACATGGTGGCTCACAACCATCTGTAAAGAGGTCTGGCGCCCTCTTCTGGCCTTCAGGCATACAGACAGAATATTGTATACATAATAAAATAAATATTTAAAAAAAAAAAAAACCATGATGGCATAGAAAGGCATTTCTCTCCAGATAAAACTTAATTTTCATTAACAGCAAAAGATACCTAAAGGGTATGATGTCTGGAGAAACATAAATGACATGCTTCAAAACGAGGGGGTTTGGCCCTAGCGTACTGTTTTCTATTTTTTTAAAAATGGGTTTGCTTGGTAAAACTGCTAAATGCAAAAGTATAGGCAATCCTGGGGTCCCAGGAGGCAGCTGGGATGTATTTGACTCTGTTAAGCCAAAATGTCACATAAAGTCATAACTACAGCAGGTACTGTGATCCACAAACACCTAAGATCACAGCATAAATGTCTGTAGTCAACCAAAGGAGCAGTTTCCATAGCGCTTAAAGCGAATGTCTTGGCGCTATCTGGGATGCACTTTTTGGCCTTGCTTTCCTCTTTGGGGGAGTATCTACATCCAAAATGTTAATCTGACTCTTGCAAGACCCCAGCTGGCTCCGTAGCCACCCAGGGAAGCCCTCTGCACATCCCCTGGCTAGGGATCCTGGTGCCACCTTCTGAGAGAGTCTAGGACCGGATCTCAGGACAGTTCTAAGATACCCAGATCTCATCAGTCAAAGGCACCGAGCAAGAGCAGGGCAAGATCTCCTTCCCTCATTCCTATCATCGGGCCTTCTGAGATTGGCAAGCATGGCTTCTTCAAGCCATTCATCTGAGACTAGTTCTCCTGTGGGTTAATTACAACACTGGCCAAGAACCCAAAGCTACGTGTGCTGTGTATGCTTACCTCTGAGGATGTCCATCTGTAAGCACTACTCAAGAGACGTAGACTCCCCCAAGTTCCTGAACTCCACCTCCCACCCAGTGACAGAAACCCAGACTAAGAGTTCCAGGGAGAGGAAGCACGTACATCGATGTTCCTCTTCTCTAGTGAGAGAGTGGCGATCATAGTGGTCACGCAGTTCCCTCCCAGGCTGTCTCTGAGCACGCTGGTCATCACGGAGTTCCTGTAAGGGATGTGTGTGCGGCGCTTTTCAGAAAGGGCGATGATGACCTGTGGGAAGGTGGGCAGATGGTGGCGTTAGCCAGGCAGGAGGAGGCACACCTGGCAATGACTTTCAATAATCAGAATGCAAAGGAAATAATAATTAAACACAGGTAACACCCAAGACTTCGGCACAGAACAGTCATATTAACAAGAGCTTTCAATGTGAAAATGACAAAAATGGGGCTGGAGAAGTGGCTCGGTGGTTAAGAGCACTTGCTGCTCTTCCAGAGAACCTGAGTTAGAGTCCTTGAACCCACAATGAATGGCTCACAGCTGCCTATGACTCCTGCTCCAGGGACTCCACCCCTCTCCCCTGGCAGCGGCAGGAAGAGGGAGCAGCATGGCTGCCTTTGAATGATCACTTATGCACTCACTGTCCTCCCCACTTTGAACCTTTTTCCTAAGATACCTTAATATTATTACTGTTCTAGAGCACACTGATGTATGTGGGTAACATGAAGCATACGCTAATAAACCTTCCTGGTGATATTAATTGAATATTAGTGAACTCACTTTTGGTGGCAAGTTACAGAAAATCTAAGTCACACTGGTCTCAGACAGGAGGGTTGGAAATAGAAAAACTCTAGGCTACAAATAACCCAAGAGGTTAATGGGCTTACGTTCCTATCTCTACTGTAGCCTCCTTATAGCCACAGGATGGCTGCCAAACACCCTGGTGTTATATACTTCTAGATTAATAAGTTACATGAGAACAGACATCCTTTATCCTGAGCTTTCCTAGGAAGCATCTTGGTCCCTAGAAGACCCACAGGTTGACAACTGCATCCAAAGGAAGGCTCCAGTTTGCTTTGACCAATAAGGATCTAATCCCTGGAGCTGGGATGGGCTTCAGGTGCTCCGCACTGGGATGGACATTTCCACATCCTCTCCATGAAGGGACCTAAAACTGCTAGAGAAAAATATTTAAACTTCGAAGTGGGACTGTGGTCATTAAAATGGAGGAAACGAGGCTATGTGTGATAGAAGAAAGCAGCCAGGATTTGGAGGCAGAATCCAGCTTTACCACTTGTATGATTTTGGAAAACCTCAAAAGCACATTAGCTTCCCGTTCCTGTAAAGAAGGAACTAGAAAGTCTGGCTCTCTTGGAGGAATGTTGTAAAGGTCCGGAGAGAGGGGCTGAAGAGGTGGCTATGTGTGAAGGAATGCTTGCTATGCAAGCATGAGGACATGAATTCAAATCCCAGAACATGTGAACAACTTGATGTGGCTGTGCATGCCTGTGACCCCAACACTGGTGAACATAGAGACAGCTGGGTCCCAGCTCACATGCCAGCCAGCATAGCTCAACCAAATGGTGAGCTTCTGTTTTAGTGAGATACCCTGTTTCATGGTAACAGTGAGATAGCCCATTTCACGGCATCAAAGAGATGAAGACACCCATTATCTTGCTCTGGTTCCACATGTGGACAGTTCATGCACATACATCTCACATATGCATCACACGTGCACACACATAAAGATCAGAAGTGAACTTCTAGGGTACTTATTAAACAAGGGGCACACAGTGCTGTAGGAGAGTCTTCAGGAGAGTCTGCTTTTGGTGTAGGCCTGACCCATTTCCTTGAGAGAGGACCCGAGCTGGTCTCTTGTAGCACCACTGTGAGTCCAGACCACATGGAGTGGCTCTGAAGAGGAGCCCAGAGAAGGAATATTGTGGGCAAGCAGAGGGGGGTTGCTCCTTGTGGGGTTACAATGGGCTCTGCAGTGAAAGGAGTATGGAGGGTCATAGGGCTAGTGTGCGTGTTTGTGTCTGTGTTGTGTGTGTGTGTCTGTGTGTTGTGTGTGTGTGTCTGTGCACACACACACGCCATAGGATAACCTCTAGAATGTCATTTCTTAAGGTATCTGTTCACCTCCTTTTATACTTTTATATTTTTGAGACAGGGTCTGTCATTGTCCTGGAACTCACCAAGTAGGCTACCCTTGGTAGCTAGTGAGCCACGGGGATTCACCTGTTTTCACCTTCCAAACACAGCGATTGCAATTTTCTCACTACATTCCCTCCCCCCCACCCTCTTATACAAAGATTATGGGGATTAAACCCAGATTTTCCAGCAGCATTTACTGGCTGAGCTCTTGCCTCAGTTCAGAATGATTTGTTTAATCCTATGTGTGTATGTGGGTTCTGTGTGTATGGCTCGTGTGTGTGTGTTGGGGTTTTTTTTAATATGTATGGCAGTGCAGGTGCCCATGGCGACCAGAGTTAGAGAGGTTGTGACCTCCCTGACATGTTTGCTGGGAACAGAACTCTGGTCCTCAGAAGAGCAGGTGTGTTCCTGACTACTGAGCAACCTTTCAGTCGCCTTGGGTTTGTTGTTGTTGTGTGTTTGTTTGGTAATGTTTGCTCCTATTCTGAACTTCACATATAAATACAATGGCAAAACATTTCTTACAGCATTGTGTTAGGAACAAAGAATGGAACCTCACACCACATCTAGAAATTCCTTCACGACCTAGAAACTGTACTGCTATCAATAATTCAGCTACCCGAGGCAGTGAGCTCCACAGAAGGTCTTGAGTAGAGCAGGTCCAAGTCAGCAACCTCTGCAGGAGCAGGCCCAAGCCCAAGTCACAAATAACATAAAATATCTTAGAGTAACTCTAACAAAATAAGTAGAAGACTTGCATGACAAGAACTTTAAATCTTTGAAGAAAGAAATTGAAGAAGACACCAGAAAATGAAAAGATCTCCCATGCTCTTAGGTAGGTAGAATTAACATAGTAAAAATGGCAATCTTACCAAAAGTAATCTACAGATTCAATGAATGCAATGCCCATCAAAATCCTAGCAAAATTCTCCACAAACCTCAAAAGAACAATACTCAACTTCATATGGAAAAACACACACAAAAAAACAAGGATAGCCAAAAACAATCCTGTACAATAAACAGGATGGAAGACTCAGATATCAATCCACACACCTACAAACACCTGATTTTTAACAGAGAAGCAAAAAATATAAAATGGGAAAAAAAGCATATTCAACAAATGGTGTTGGCATACTTGGTTATGAACACATAGATGAATGAAAATAGGTCCATATCTATCACCATGCACAAAACTCAAGTTCACATGGATCAAAGACCTCAACATAAAACCAACACAGAACCTCATAGAAGAGAAAGTGGAAAGTACACTTGAATACATTGTCACAGGAGACCACTTCCTCAGTTTAACCCCAGTATCACAGACACTGAAAGAAACAATTAATAAATGGGACCTCCTGAAACTGAAAAGCTTCTATAAAGCAAAGGACATGGTCAACAAGATAAAATGACAGCCTACAGAATGGGAAAAGATCTTCACCAACCCCACATAAGACAGAGGTCTGATCTCTAAAATATACAAAGAGCTCAAGAAACTGGTCATCAAAACAACAAATAATCCAATTTAAAAAATGGGGTACAGACCTAAACAAAGAACTCTCAACAGAGAAATCTAAAATGGCTGAAAGACATTTAAGAAAATATTCAACATCCTTAGTCATCTGATGTAGGAGGGTCTTCTATCTATCTGTTGCTTTCATTGGTTAATTAATAAAGAAAACTGCTTGACCTGATAGGTCAGAACATAGGTAGGTGAGGAAGACAGAACAGAATTCTGGGAGGTAGACGCCATGACTCTCCTCTCCAAGACAGACGGTGGTTAGACTCTTGCCGGTAAGCCACAGTCAAGTGGTGATACACATTAATAGAAATGGGTTAATCAAGATGTGAGAGTTAGCCAGTAAGAAGCTAGAGCTAATGGGCCAGGCAGTGTTTAAATGAATACAATTTGTGTGTTGTTATTTCGGGTGTAAAGCTAGTCATGCGGGAGCCAGGTGGGACAAAAAGCAGGCCTGCCCACACCTCCTTCTTCAGTCATCAGAGAAATGCAAATCAAAACAACTCTGAGATTCCATCTTACACCTATAAGAATGGCCAAGATCAAAAACACTGATGACAACTTATGCTGAAGAGGATGTGGGGTAAAGGGAACACTCCTGCATTGCTGGTGGGAGTGCAAGCTGGTACAGCCCCTTTGGATATCAATATGGTGATTTCTCAGAAAATTAGGAAACAACTTACCTCAGGACTCAGCAATACCACTTTTGGGTATATACTCAAAGGATGCTCCATTGTACCACAAAGACATGTGCTGAACTATGTTCATAGCAGAATTGTTTTTCATAGCCAGAAACTGGAAACAACCTAAATGTCCCTCTACCAAAGAATGGATAAGGAAAATGTGGTACATTTACACAATGAAGTATTACACAGCAGAAGAAAATAATGACATCTTGAAATTTGCGGTCAAATGGATGGAGCTAGAAAATTTCATATTGAGTGAGGTAACCCAGACCCAGAAAGACAAATATCATATGTACTCACTCATAAGTGGCTTTTAGACACAAAGCAAAGAAAAACCAGCCTACAATTCACAATCACAGAGAACCTAGACAGCAAAGAGGACCCTGAGAGAGACATACATGGATCTACTTTACACGGGAAGTAGAAAAAGACAAGATCTCCTGATTAAATTGGGAGCATGGGGACCAAGGGAAGTGGAGAGGAAGGGAGAGGAATGGAGAAAAATATATAGCTCAATAAAAATGATAAAAAAGAAAAAAGAAAAATCTAAAACAGTAATTCAGCTACTTGATGGATCAAGAGTTTTCTTATTTTAAAAGATTTTATTTTATTTATTTATGTGTATTTGTGTGAGTGTGTGTGTGCACGCGCACACGTACGTGTGTGTGTGTGTGTGTGTGTGTGTGTATACACATGTGTGCGTCCATGCAGGTGCCCATGGAAGTCAGAAGCAGGCACCAGACACCTGGGAGCTGTATTTACAGGCTGTTGTCAGCTGGAAACTGAACTCTGTCCTGCAAGAGCAGCACGCACTCTAAACCACTGAGCTGTCTGTACAGTTTCTAAGGGGATTTTCTTTTAAACGGCTCAGAAGAGCACAGAAAAGAATTGTCTGAAAACCAACCAAGATTGGGAGCAGTTATGACTAGCACTGGCCCAGCACCTTCACTCCTCAGCACAGTGTGACCTTAACTCACTTGGCAGGAGCCATGTGTGCTGTGGGATTGGCTGATGGTTGACAGAAACCCCATTTGATTTCTGAAGGGGTGGGGAGTAAACACTGATTCCCAGCAGTTTCTTAGTTGCTGTTTGGGCTGATGGGGACCTCGGGTCACCCCCAGGGCACTTAGTGAGGTTTACAGCTTGCTCAAGTACATAAGCCCTCTTTCCTTCTCCTCATGCGAACTCAGGCTCTGGGGCTGAGAGGTACCCTGTTATTGTGGCATAAAGTGTTTTTGAGGAAACTCTTTGGAAAAAGTGTTGCATACATAAAGAGAACTCCAAAACCAACAATATTCTGGCAGACTGAATATTAATCACTTAAAAATGTAGAGTCAGTAAACTCTGGCTGGCCGAGTTCTAGCAGGTGTGAGGTCTCTCAGCTATGACCAGCAGGACCAGAATTCTGAGAGAAACTTCTAAACCAGTGTAAGTTCATTAATGCAAAGCAGCTGAGCACACTAGCCCCTCTTTCACCCGTCTTTTTGTATTAAAATAATATTTTTTCATTTATGTTACATACCAACCAGTTTCCCCTCCCTCCTCTCCTCCCATCCCCTCCCTTTCCCACCTGCCACCCTCCCCACCCACTCCTCCTCCATCTCCATCCAGAAAGGGGCAGGCCTCCCATGAGCTTGCACAAAGCATGGCACATCAAGCTGAGGCAGGGCCCAGCTCCTCCCTTTACATCGAGGTAATCTAGCATCCACCCATCTTTTACACTGAAAGGGATAGAGAAAGGCTTGATTAATTCTCACCACCAATGGAGTCCCTTATGGCATTTATCTGACTACAGGTAGGCATTAGTTCTGTCCTAGTCAGTTGTAGCCACCAACCTCACACAGCTGGAGTCAGCTGAGGAGTGAGGCTCCATTCAGGGTATGCCCAGGTCAGACTGGGGAGGGGGAACTGTCTTGACTGCTAATTGACATAGGAGGGCCCCACCCACTGTGGGCACACCACTGGCCAGGTGTTCCTGGGCTGTGTCAGAAAGCCAGCTCAGTCTGAGTCTGTGAGTGAGCCAGCAAGCAGAGTTCCTTTGGGATTTCTGCTTCCAGTTCCTGCTTGAGTTCCCTCCTCAACGATGAGCTGTAACCTGGAAGCTGAAACAAACCCTTTCAACCCCTGAGTTGCTTTTAATCATGGCGCTTGCCACAGAAACAGAAAGCAACAGGGCAAGTTCCTAAGCTTTGCTGCTTGGTTGGCTCTATGATGTATAGCTTGTACTCTTCTACCCCCTGCCCAACGGAACCCACAGCTTCCAGTGGAGACCCGGCCGCTATCTGCTGAGTGGATAGATGAGCTAGTTACACAAAGTTGTTTTACACTCCCAGTCTCTTTAGCCACATAATAAAATATACTTAGAGATAATGTGGCCATAAAGGCCCATGAGTTATGCAATTTTATTAAGTATCTGCTCTCTCTTTTCATTGTTGGGAGTGTTCTAGCTCTCTCTTTCTGAATATAATTCTCTTCTGCCCTCCCACCCACTCACCAGCAGCTCCTCCCAGCCTTACTAAACCCTAAGATCCACGGCCATGTCTGCAGCCTCCCATAGCCTGTTTTCCTTCCCTCTCCTGCCAGCGACCTTATGCCAAGCCTCCTCCTTGCCTGTGAAGGCACTTGGGTCTAAGAGAAAATAGTTAGCAGCTGTCCTGATGTGGTGGGTGGAAAGGAAACAGAACTGCTGAGGGCCAATGACACATGAATGACATTTAGCCTGGAGTGAACAGAGAAGGGTCCTCTGGGCTGGAGCAGTTGCTGATGTGCTCATGGCTCCAAGGACCTGACCTGCTCTACTCCACCCTTGCCTGCTCCCGCCCACTCATTTTCCATTTCAGAGGCCTCATTAACTCCTGGCTTCCTCACCCTTTTCCTTGCTTATCAGAGCTCCTGCCTGAGATGCAGCTATGTTCTTCTGAGGACCCCTGCTTCAGAGCGGTAGCCCTTTGGGGTAGGGCTGTCTCTAGGACCCTCAGCACACTATAGATCTGTCCTATTCCCATTTCAGATGCTGTGACAAAATATCCAGAACCAAAGAAATCTGGAGGATAGAAAGGCTTACTTTAGTTTGTAGTTACAGATTTCAGTCTGTCATTGGGGAAGTCAAGGAAGAAAAGTCAACTTAACATCCACGGTCAAGAGCAGGGAGAAATGCATGAACACATGCTTGCTTGCTTAACATCCATACTCAAGAGCAGAGAGAAATGGATGCATGCATGCTCACTTCTGTAACAAAGTCAAGAGCAGAAACAACTGGATAATCGCATGCTCACTTGCTTAACATCCATAGTCAAGAGCAGAGAGAAATGGACTCGTGCTCGCTTGCTTAACATCCAAAGTCAAGAGCAGGAAGGAATGCATGAGTGCATGTTTGCTTGCTTGTGCTCAGCTTGATTTCTCCACTCTCATACAGTCCACGACCATCCAAGACACCTTGCCTAGGGAACGGTGCCAGTCACAATGGGCTAGGTCATCCCATATCAATGAACATAATTGAGACAATCCCCAACAGACCTGTTCATGGGACAACCCAATACAAACAATCCTTCATTGAGCACTTCTCCCCAGGTGATTCTTGCTGTGTCAAGCTGATCATCAATAATTGATAAGATCATCATCAATATTTACTAGATAAGTAATTGATGAAAAAACAACGACAACATAGGCATTATGCATGTTCACAAGGATTGTAAAGCAAAGAGGTAGAATAATTCTAGTGACAGTCAGGAATTGGAGGAGACTGTGGAAAGAAGGGAGGAAGTGGACGTGGGGCAGAATGTTTCTCCTGAGTGATTACAATTGGTAGAAAGTTCGATTCAGCTGAAGAACGTAATTTAGTATGAACAGATGGACACAATGGGAATTAAAACCATGCCACCATCTGAACACAGACACATTTCTTCGAAATAAGGCAATTTGAATACAGCCCATTATGGGCATATATCATTGTTCCAGTAAATGTCCTATTAAGCGAGAAGCTCCATCAGTGTAAGTGGTACGGAATATTTGAGCAAGAAAAAGCTTAGAACTGATGACTCTTGTCAGAAGCACTGAAATGGCCAATGCTTGCAGGCCCTCAGCTAAGGTGCTGCACTCCTGTGGTTCTCAGGGGTGAAGCTAACTTATCATCTCATTCAGGTGGGCTCCTCTGGCTTGGCCTCCAGCCTTGTGACTATTCAGAAGCAGCATGACATTCCTCTCAAAAGCTTTCCTTAGGCATTAAAGAAAAGAGACATCTTATTGTTGTTGTTGCCCTCAAATCTTTTAGGCTAAACATTCAACAATAAGGAGGAAACACAGGAAATCCTCCATCCAATCCATTAATTTTACAGATGGGGTCGAAGATTTATCTAGCTAAATTTGGGTGAGTTTTCTTTGCTCTTGGAGTCAGATCCAAAGTTACAAAGTAGAGCAGCTAGTGGGTTGGATGGTAGTCAGGAGGGAGTGTGGGTGACTCAAGACAAGCCAAGACTAAGAGATTCACCACAGCAGAAAAAAGTACTGACCAGAATCTGGCAGCATACTGTTCACCTCCGAGTTACATTCTCAGGGGTAATCTCTGAGCTGGGAAAACAAACAAACAAAACAGGCAGCAGGAGACCACTTACCGTCTGGATTCATGTCCAACAGTGATTTTACAATATAGATAATAAGGCAGCAGTACCGCCTCCCCCATTCCATCACTTTTGAAAGTAACAAAAACAATTGTGTGCTGGGCCCAGTGAAAACTGAGATCAATCTTTACCCTGTTTCTAGGTGGGTGACCCTGGGATGATAAGTGTTTGCAGTCAGTAAAATGGAGAAGTTACCACTTCCAGCAGGGGGCTGTTGTAGGGTTTAAATGAAATGGTGTTTACAAAGCACTCCTACATACACGGATGTTCACAGGAATACTGCCCGCAATGCTGAGGGGCAGATGCGGCCTGCTGACTTTGAATGGAACACTGAATAAACAAATTGAGGGGTATGCACGCATGTGCTCAAGTCCCAGGAGGGAATGGAATTGTGTTATATGCCACCATGTGCAGGGGCCATGAAATCATTACACTTCTATACAAGACAGCTACCAAGGACACACAGTGATTCCACCTGCGAGATCTGGAGTAGGCAAAGTCCGAGAGACAGAGAGGACAAGCCACTAGAGGCCAAAGATAAAATTCAAGGGATGTTCATATTCCAAAGGTCCAGAGATTCCAGTGGGGATTATGAAAATATAGGAATGATAATGACTGGTTGCCCATTATTTTGGAATGTACTTCATGTCATTGAACTCTTCACTTAAAAAAAATGATCAAAAATTGGGACTGGAGAGATGGCTCAGCTGTTCAGAACATGTACAGCTCCTGCAGAGGACCAGAGTTCAGCTCCAAACACCCACACTGGGCAGTTCACAATCACCATTAACTCCAGCTTCAGTGGACCCAACCAATGCCCTCTTTCTGACTCTGTGTGCGCACACACACACACAATCTTTTTAAGATTATTTATTATGTATATACTGTTTGTCCACATGTGTGCCTGCAGGCCAGAAGAGGGCACCAGATCTCATTACTGATGGTTATGAGTCACCACGTGGGTGCTGGGAATTGAACTCAGGACCTCTGGAAGAGGAGTCAGTGCTCTTAACCATTGAGCCAACTCTCCAGCTCCACAATCTTTTTAAAACTATGAGACAAACAAATGCTGTTGTGCACATTTCACCATAATTACAAGCCAGAGACTAGAGTGTCTGCCATGAGCATACGCAGCACGCGCCATTGCCACTGCTGACCTTATTCCATCCACTTTACCTGCTCCAGGTAGTGCAGCGACAGGTTAATGTACTTGGCCTCTGTCAGGAGCAGGCCCCCCACTCCAGTCTTCGAAACACGCTCTGACCCTGCCAGGTCAACCAAATGGAGCTTTGCGCGTCGGAGAGTGGCAGATCCCGGCTCCTTGCTGGTCAAGTGAACAGTGAAAATACAGTGTGATCGGGTTGAAGCTTGGTTCATAGGAGTCTAAAAAAAAAATGCAAAATGTATAATAATTTGACTTGAGAAATTCAGAGAGTATCAAAAGACTTTTAGATTATATTTCTAATAGCATGGCATTGCTCATGAAGCCAACACACATGAATGAACTCCTCAACATCTGTTCTCTTCAGCATGGTGTTACCTGCCAGATGGCTGGGTGAACCCCTCAGTGTCTGTGCTCCTCAGTGTGGTGTTACTTGCTAGGTGACTGGTAACAAAGGTGGATGGGTTATTCAGAAGGTGAAAAAAGCATCCTACTGGGATAAATATGGAGTCTTTGGGGATAGGAAGGTTGCTCAGTTGGTAAAGACCTATAGGGTGAACATAAGACCTGAGCTTGAATTCTCAGAACCCATGTGTGTCGATACCCTAGCCCAGGGTGGGGTGGAGCAGAGACAGGTCGATTTCCAGGAGTTCACTGGTCAAAGAGTCTAACCAACTAGTGAGAGACCTTGTCTCAAAAGCTAGAGGAGAGGATTGAGAAGACGCCCAGTCAACTTCTGGGCACCAAATGCACGTGCACAGAACAACACCCACCCATAGCCATGCCCCCCACAGAGAGACAGACAGACATGAAAAAAGACACACGAGAGAGGCTAAGTCTTCTGACCCAGATGAGAACATCACCGCTTTATCCATCTGCAATCCACACTTTAACCCAACCACAGTGAAATGCTTAATGATAGCATCATGGAAAACGGGTAGGAATGTGTGTTCTGGGACACATCGCTACCTCAGCTGCAGACCCAGTCCACAGCAGAAAGGCTCACTATCGCTGCTACATTCATCACAGCTAGAAAACTCAGTCAATGTAATAATCCAGAAATAAACAGAAGGCACAAGCAGGGGAAAAGAGGGACCAAGAATTTCATTATACATGGAAATGAGGGAAATTTGTCTAGAAAATTCAAGAGCATCTACAACCAAATTGATTAAAACCAGGAAACTGTGTTGCAGAACTCGTTCAGTGAGGGCACAGCATGAGGACCTGGGTCGGAATCCCCAGAACCCACAGAAATTCATGTGTGGTAGAGCACATCTGTCATCCCATTGCTCCTAAGGCTGGATGGGAGGTGGGGAGAAGAGGGTAGTAGAAGATCCTGAGCCAGCTGGCCTGGGATTAGCAGTGGGGGAGTGAGACAGCTGGCCTCGGATTAGCAGTGGGGGAGTGAGACAGCTGTCCTGGGGTGAACAGTTGGGGGTGGGGAGTGAACCAGCTGGCCTGGGGTGAACAGTGGGGGAAATGAGCCAGCTGGCCTGGGGTGTGCAGTGGGGGGAAAGGGAGCCAGCTGGCCTGGGATTAGCAGTGGGGGAGTGAGCCAGCTGGCCTGGGATTAGCAGTGGGGGAGTGAGACAGCTGGTCTGGGATTAGCAGTGGGGGAGTGAGACAGCTGGCCTGGGGTTAGCAGTGGGGGAGTGAGACAGCTGGCCTGGGATTAGCAGTGGGGGAGTGAGACAGCTGGCCTGGGATTAGCAGTTGGGGAGTGAGCCGGCTGGCCTGGGGTTAGCAATGGGGGGAGTGAGACAGCTGGCCTGGGATTAGCAGTGGGGGAGTGAGCCAGCTGGCCTGGGGTGTGCAGTGGGGGAGTGAGCCAGCTGGCCTGGGATTAGCAGTGGGGGAGTGAGCCAGCTGGCCTGGGGTTAGCAGTGGGGGAGTGAGCCAGCTGGCCTGGGGTTAGCAGTGGGGGTGTGAGACAGCTGGCCTGGGGTTAGCAGTGGGGGAGTGAGACAGCTGGCCTGGGGTTAGCAGTGGGGGAGAGAGACAGCTGGCCTGGGGTTAGCAGTGGGGGAGTGAGCCAGCTGGCCTGGGGTGTGCAGTGGGGGAGAGAGACAGCTGGCCTCAGGTGAGCAGTACAATGAGGAGGCAGGGGGGGGAGGGAGGAGGGAAGAGGAGGGTATGAGCCAGCTGGCCTGGGGTGAGCAGTGGGGGGAAAGGATGCCAGCTGGGCTTGGGTGAGCAGTGGGGGGAAAGGAAGCCAGCTGGGCTTGGGTGAGCAGTGAAGGGAAAGGAAGCCAGCTGGGCTTGGGTGAGCAGTGTGGAGGGGGGTGGAGTGAGCCAGCTGGCTTGGGGTGTGCAGTTGGGGGAAAGAGAGGCAGCTGGGCTTGGGTGAGCAGTGTGGAGGTGGAGGGGAGTGGGGGAGTGAGCCAGTTGGCCCGGGGTGTGCAGTGGGGTTAAAGAACAGATCCTGTCTAAGACAAAATAGAAAATAAGTGCTAAAGCCTGTGGCGGTGCTCTGATCCTTTGTTCCCACTCACAGATCAGTGTGCATTCACACATATACACACATGTACCACACACACACATATACACAAAGAGGAAAAAATAAAAAAAATACTGGGTTTGCAGGATCAAATTGTGAAATCAATTAAGTTCAATAGCCTAACAAGAATTTATCAGGAAACATAATTATTCAGAAGGGCAACAAAGATAATATAATTGTAAGAAATTATTATATAAGAATAATGATAGAAGAAGGCACCTGATGGTGACCTCTGGTTCCCACATATGCACGCACAGGTAAGCACACCTGCATATGAATGCACGTATACATACACACATGCACGCACAGGTAAGCACACCTGCATATGAATGCACGTATACATATATACATGCACACACAGGTAAGCACACCTGCATATGAATGCACGTATACATACACATATGCACACACAGGTAAGCACACCTGCATATGAATGCACATATACATACACACATGCACACACAGGTAAGCAACCTGCATATGAATGCACGTATACATACACACATGCACACACAGGTAAGCATACCTGCATATGAATGCACATATACATACACACATGCACACACAGGTAAGCACACCTGCATATGAATGCACGTATACATATACACATGCACACACAGGTAAGCAACCTGCATATGAATGCACGTATACATACACACATGCACACACAGGTAAGCAACCTGCATATGAATGCACGTATACATACACACATGCACACACAGGTAAGCACACCTGCATATGAATGCACGTATACATACACACATGCACACACAGGTAAGCAACCTGCATATGAATGCACGTATACATACACACATGCACACACAGGTAAGCAATCTGCGTATGAATGCACGTATACATACACACATGCACACACAGGTAAGCACACCTGCATATGAATGCACGTATACATACACACATGCACACACAGGTAAGCAACCTGCGTATGAATGCACGTATACATACACACATGCACACACAGGTAAGCACACCTGCATATGAATGCACGTATACATACACACATGCACACACAGGTAAGCACACCTGCATATGAATGCACATATACATAAACACATGCACACACAGGTAAGCATACCTGCATATGAATGCACGTATACATACATACACATATGCACACACAGGTTGGCACATCGGCACATATACATACATACATACACATTCATGTGCTTATGCATACACATTCAAACACACACCAAAATAAACTAAGGATAACTTTTCACACTGTGTCAACAAATAAATCCAGAATGGACTAAATGCTTATATGTAACAAATAATACAACTTTGACAAGAAATATACATGAGCATATTATAATCCTTCCAAAGTGGTCCTTGTTACTTTAAAATATCAACGAGTAAAAACACTTGGAAGAATGACAAAGACAGATGAATAGACAACTCAGAGAAATAAGAAAAATACTTGACAGGCATTAGAAAACCTACTGGAAGTTATGAACAATGACTGGAGGCCTTAGAACTATAAAGACAAATGAGTCCGTGCCCATCAGGCTGCAGCAATACAAGAATGAAGGTTAAGGAAATAAGTGCTGGTGGAGACATAAGGATATGGAAATTTTCACAAACTGCTGATGGGAATATAAATTAAGAGTATTTTAAAAAGAAATTTAGCAATGTGTTGTAGTACTGCAAATGCAAAATCCCCACGACACAGTGACAAAACATGATTTCCTAGAGAGAGGTCATGAGAAGGTGACAGGAGACACATAACTAGTACAGCAGCCGCAGTGTCTTGAGATAACAAGAAATAGGTGCCGACGTATAGCCTAAATGGGCATCTGGGACAGAGGAGACAACAGACCAGGACAAGCCTTCAGAAAACATGATCATAAATGGTGACATGTTGATAAAATAGGAGGTGGAGTAAAATAAAAAGTCAAGAATGACGTGAATGCTGGGATGGAGTTTAGCTCACCATGCTACTGGCATTCCTGACTACTTATGCACCTCTAACCTACACCATTAAAACAGGAAATCACGAGTCAGGACGCTACAGAGAAGTGATGATGGTGGTGGCCTCTACAAGGGTGGACTCAAGCTTTACCTGCAGTACACTTGTGCTAGCATCTAGTGTCAACTTGAATGAACAGAACCACCTGGACATGGCTGTGAGGAGGCATTGTGATGCCGTTAATAAATGTGGGAAGCCAAGTCAGCTGTGGGTGGGATCATTTCCTGGGCGGGGGATCCTGCGCCTTATTGGATAGTTGGGCATTGACAAGCATGCATTCACCCCCACTCCTGTATGGAGCTGCCTTGAGCAGCTGGTCATGATTCTTCTGCCTAGAACTGTGAGCTACAGTAACCTGTTTCTCCCCTGAGGTGCGTTCATGGAGTATTTTATCCCAGGAAAGGGAGAAGAAACTAAGGTAGAAGATTGGTCCCGAGAGTGAGGGCACCGGTATGCAAACCTGACTGTGGTCCTCAGGCCTTTCATAGTGTCTGTGGCAGGAAAGTGACAGAGTTGTAAACTCTGGCTAGAAACGCCCTTGAATGCTGTAAGAGCTTAAAGGGTCACAACCAGGGAGCTCAGAAGTCAAGCAGGGTGGGAGAGGTGCAATCAGTGGAGCCCTGGTGGGAGGTTTCAGAGGACACAGGTGCTCTCTCAGGGGCGGGATTACCGCTTCCAAACAGCGCAAACATCAGGAACTGGCCCTGCCATTCTCCATACTTCATGTTTTCCCTAAGAAA